CGATATAAAATTAGAAGCTCGTACGTAATATGTACTTCTGTGTTGCTTCTAATAAAATAATATGAAAATCAATTAGATCAAATCAGTTTTTATCAGTTTGTTGTAGTTTTAGAAAGCTTTTTACTAGGTTTTTCTTTTTTTTTCTAGTCGTGCACACCTTGTGACAAAACCCCCATAAAGATAAGAATAATAAACCAGTATCATGCGCGTAACTAGCAAGACAAGAAAAATGCTGTCTTTCACCTTTTAACTTGATCATGTGACCCTCATTTATGTCAAGATGATAAGATTACCAGAGCTGCAACAAGAAAAATCTATTATTAGATTCCGTTTTTTATTACTGATGCACAGGAAATTTGATCTTAGTACTTGTTGTAAAAAATAAGCTCATCACCATAGAAAAAAGAAGATATTCAAAATGTATTTTCTTGTTCACTTAGCAGACAATTATAGACTACGTCATCCGCTATACGCTGTAACGATTAAGAAAGAAAAGAAACGTCTTTTATTACTAAAGAAAACGAAGAAATTTTTGTTCTGTTCGTTTCTTTTCTTTTTTGACTCAACTGTTTGGAATAGGTTAGTTGGTACTAGTTCTAATATATATATATATTTATATTCTTTCCGTTGAGTAATTTCTTTTGTCCGAAATTAAAGTGTCCTTGGCATTAAAATATTCTCGTTCCTCACACATTTTTCCGACTCCCGACATTGTCAATCTTGTATGCTTGATTTTCTTGTTATGGCACTTGTATCTAAATTGCGTCATGCATGTTGAAAAGTCAATCAAGTGGTGCTTATCAGCGTTTTCTATCGTTTCTTAAGATTCTATGATTAGAACATATACAGTGTTGTCTTTCTCGAATGCTCTCTACTCTATATTCTTCTTTTCTTTCTTTTTTTTATCTTCTATTTTCTTTCTCTGTTATCTTTGTCTTTCTTCCATTTATTTCTTGATGCTAATTGCTAATCTTTGGATTCGTTTTATGCCTTGATCCGATCAGCAACAATAAATAAATTGCATCACACTAACGTCATATTCTAAAATATGTCGATTCAATTGACAGAACAAGAATAAGTCAAATCGACATGTTTTATTTTTTGCGTGAAAGACTTTCCCTAATATTCGTAGAGTACGCCTATATGTCCACATTTTTTCTTCTATCATAAATTCTCAGTGATAGAAAAAAGGAAGGGTCATTATTCTTTTCCTATTTTCGCTCGATAATGTTTCTGTCAATGTTGTCCACCTACGCATCCTGCGCTTGCTTCATTGCTCATTGCCCAATTCACGCATAACTTCTACTTCTTTATTATTATTATTATTTGCTTTTGCGTTCAGCCGAAAGAACATATGAGAATATTTCTGAATGCGTGCGCGCAACTCTGTGCCAACCTACGCATATGTGGAGGAAAATCTTTTGTGCGAATACAGAGTGACAACTGTGATCGAGAGTGATGATGATGGCGACAGCGACTTATTCTTCGGGCTTGCATTCAAGCACCATAGAGAAAATGACGGAGAGACGTAGGACTAGGAGGAACATTTTTTTGCTGATGACCGTTTTTCCTCTCGTTCCTCTCGTTCTTCTTGTTCTCCTCTTCACATTCCGTTATTAACATCATTATTTCAGAAAAATAATGACAACGAACGTGGGCGTACTACTGACGTATCATGCAGAAAAATAGGAGCATACCAGTAAAAAAAAAGAAAAAAACCTAATGAAGAACGAGAAACGATGAGATTAATCGAGCTGGTTCTTTTTCTATTCTTTATTTTTAGTATCTTTCTCTTTTATTCGCCAACGTTCAACTATATTACCCGAAGGCCATCTAGAGTACCGTTCCTTCATTTTATCACATTCATTCTACCACTTTTGTTATTATTGTAGATCAACAGACAATTAGTTTTCATACAAAACGAATGAGTTCTACAGACGATAGTTATTCCATGGCATCATCATTGCCTTCATCGCTCGATCAAACACCACTATCATCACTTTCAGCAGCATCAAGTTATGCATCACTTGTAAATTGTGATGATACAATTTCAATGCATAATGAAAAACATCAACAACAACAACAACAACAACAACATTTTATTCGAAAACCAAAAAGAAATTCACCAACGAATGAATCAAAATTATCACCAACATCAGATTCAAATAATATGAACAATAAAATCAATAATGGATTTAATCATATTTATAGTACTAATAATAAACGCACAAGTTATTCAACATTACAAAATCGTCATGTAAATAAATTATGTTCGATACTTGAAGAACCCATCGAAATTCATGGTCAAGGAAATTTTCCAACATTAAATATTGTTTCAAAAGATTTCTTAATTGAATTACGACGAGCTTTTCATTTAAATAATATTGATGTTAAAGATGTGCGTCTCAATGGAGGTATGCGTTTTGAAAAAGACAAAAAAAAAGGAAATTAATGAATTTTTTTCTTTTTCCTTCTTCATATTAGGTGCCGCTTCCTATGTTTTAACAAATGATAAATCATTTTCATATTCGGACATTGATTTTATATTTCGTTGTGATCTATCATCAGAATTAGTATGGACACAAATAAAAACGACTGTATGTGAATGTTTATATCGACATATATCATCAACCAACGCTTCCAGTTCTTCTCAATTATCATTTTCACCTATTATTATTCAAGCAGCATATGTAGAAAAAGTAGTACGAGTTATTAACCCATCAAATAATGATTCATGGGCTTTAATGTCTCTATGTAATGTCAATGGACAGAATATTGAATTGAAATTTGTTGATCGTATGAAACGACAATTTCAATTTAGTGTTGATTCATTTCAAATTTTACTCGATCCATTACTCGATCATTATGAACAACTACTTAAATATCAACAACCAACGAATAAGAAACAAGCACAATATTATCAATATCATCATCATTCTAAACAGCAATATGGTAAGCATCAGCTGGTAGTAAAAATATAAGAGCGATAAGAAATAGAAACCTCAATAGAACAGCAGCTGTGTACTTTACTGATATGATCCTGTTTCGTTTTTCTCGTTTTTGTTTTGCTACTTATCAGTCGATGTACTGGAATAGCTTATTTGTTCGTTTGTATTCTGATCGCGTGCGCGAAATAGAGTGGGTGGAAGAACCCCAATCAGTATACCAACACAGATGATAAAGGAGGAAAAAAAGCAACTAATCGAAACCCACAGGAAGGATATGAAAACTAAAGAGTATGGACAAAAATAAGATCAATTACTAAGTAAATAGCATTTAAAAGGTTGTATTAAAGGCAAAAGAAAAGAAACAGAAAAACTAACTAATTATCAACTATTCAATAACAAAAAAAAATATATGTATAAAACTTTTTTGTACTTTCGAAAGTTTATTCTATATATTAAAAGTATTTGAATTTTATTTCTTATTGCAGATTATCGCTTATCAAGAAATAATCGATATTTATCTTCATATAATTTACCGACAATATCAGTTGAATGTGTTTATGGAAGTTTTGAAAGTGCTTTAACGCATCTTAATCGTCGTCTTATTGCAACAACATCACCTGAACGTATTTGCGGTGGTGGCTTACTTAAATATTGTCTTTTGCTAACACGTGGTTATCGTCCATATGACAATGGTATAGCATCATGGCAACTTGAAAAATTAATGTGTTCACGATTTTTTATTGATTATGCTGATATTAATGAACAAGAATACAAATTATTAGCTTTCTTATCGTCACATTTTTCTAATGATGATTCAGCTAAATATCGTTATCTATTACAATTACGTTTAATTATTGAACGTAGTACAGTTTGTTTAATGGCACATGAACGTAATTTAACGTTAACATTGATAACCCAATTAGCAACTGATTATTATTATCGTTTATATGATGAATATAATATATACAGTTTAATGGGAGAAACAACAACAGCCGAAGTAACTGTACCAAACTCAATAACCATTGATGTTATTTATCATAACGAATGGGATGAATGGAAATCTTTATATGCACCACAAAAGAAACAAATACAATCGCAACAAGATAACTAGTCAAGATTTCTTTACAAGTAAATATTAAAAATAGAATAACAAGAATAGATCCGGTCATAAGATCAATTCATCTGTAGAATTGATTCAGATAGTTTTAGCCAGTATTATTTTCCCGATTTTGTCTATCAAGAGTTGTGATTGTACAGCTATGATTGATTGATTCCGAATGAAAATGAATAAGACTTGTTGTATTATTTATTTGTATTTATATGTATATGTTATACTTATCATTTATATTATAATAGTGTTTTGTTTTTGTTTTATTATTATTTTTGTTTTATTGTCCGACAATGATACAAAAAGCAGAAAATTTTAGACGAGAGGATAAAAAATCTATTATATCCATTATCATACAGCCTATTTTTTATGTCGTTAGCGTTTGTTTTTGTTGTTTCTCTCTCTGGTGCGTTTTAAAACATTACATTTCGTCACTATTTTGGACAAACATAAATTAAAAAAAAAGACAGATAAATAATGTAAATAAATAAATAAATAAATAATCTATTTGTATATCTTTGTTATTTAATACACATTTCGTGGCAATGGTACCAAATGAGATTGCATTTCATTAAACAGCATATCTAAATTATGTCTTGAAGCATCAAAATACTTTTGGAATGATGTTTTTATTATTCAAGCATACATTTTACTAAAGGGAATATGTCAGTTTGTTTTTCATCTGTTGTGATTGCTAAATTCTATGTTTCTGTGCTCGATTGCATTTGTTTCTTGTCGTGATTAAAACCATCATACCGTTAAAATATATAGGCTTATAATGTATTGTTGTCGTTTTTTCTATTGTTTCAATATTAACTGTTTTTTTTCCAGTAGAATAAAAACAGAACTAAAAGAAAAAAAGATTCATGAATATTTTCTATTGGCTTTCTTTTTTTTTCACATTTGATTAACTCATTAATTCGACAGGTAGTCATAATTTTTAAATGTTTAATCATTCTATGTTTGAGTCCGGTTATGATAATGATGGTATTCATGTTTATTATCGTAGAGAACGAATTAATTTAATGACAGCTATATCGTTTGAAGACCTTGGTTTTGGCTACGCTCGTGATCCTTTTCACGTTTGCTTTGCTGGTCATATTATTAATGGAGCACATCCTGATTCATTTCAAGTGCTTGCTGGTGCCTATGCAAAAGATATATTTCACGTTTATTATCAAGGAGAAAAAATGCCTGGGTTAATGGCATCAACATTTGTTTCATTGGGAAACGGCTATGCTAAAGATTCATTGAATGTTTATTACTATGGTCGTAAAGCAGAATATCTTAGTTCTATTTGACTTGAATTTGTACTACGCGTTTGATGTGCCTTTTTTTTTTATTAATATTGTCTAAATATAGAAAAATATTTATTTAGATCATTTGAAAACTACAATATACGTAAATAACCTGTAATGATTTGTATGTTGCATATTTTTCATTTGTTTTATAATTGTATTTTACTGTGAATGCTTAGAATATTTACGTCGTATTTATTAATAATTAATAGTTGAAACGGAATAGATGATTGGGCACATCAATCACACTGGTGTGCAATTTAAAATCAAAACATAACACAAACATTAATTCCCAACGAAAACGCGACTGATAATAATTAAAATAGATTGAAAAAAGCAAAAACATACAACGTGAATGTACATTTACCTGTAAAAACATTCGTTTTATTCATAATTGCCCTTCACATCGAAATAACCGGAACAAACATAGTCATCAAAATTACTCTTTTTTCCTCTATAATGTACATTTATTCAACTATTAACAGTGTTTTCGTAGACGCTAAATTTTGACATGATTACAGATTCGAAAAGTTTTACAGCTTCAGTAGCTCCAAGCGCAAATATTCTACCGATATTAGTCGATTATAATATTTCACAAATCACTCCCTATCTCTATGTTACTGCTGAAGATACAGTTCGAGAATTTTCAAAGGTATTTTCATATGGTATTGGCTGTGTAATTAATGTTGCACAAGAATTACCTCAAATTATGTTTCCACCTCAAACTGGTATCGAATCATTCAAATATCCTATAATTGATACTCCAATGTTTCCTGTTTCGCACTATTTTGATATTGTTGCTGATCGTATAGCTGTTAATACAGCGTCAAATCGACGTACACTTTTGTATTGTCGACAAGGAAGATCACGTTCCATCACATTTACTTTAGCTTATCTGATAAAACATCATCATCTACCATTACCAACGGCTTATTCGCTGGTGAAATCGAGACGACAAATAGCTCAGCCTAATGTTGGATTTTGGTCACAATTAAGATTCTATGAAGTAACTCAACAAAAAATGATAGCAAGTATTAACGGCTATCCTCACCATCCTGTAACATACGGTGCACAAGTATTCAATAAAATATCGAATGGATTAGATAGTATAATCGCTCAACTTCCTATTGTTAATACATTTACACATATGAGGGGTTCAATAAGCGAAAATACAAAAATTGAACCATACCATTATGGTAGAAAACGCAGACAATCTGTTTATTCGCATCCAGACGATATTGGGCACCGAGCGAATATTTTACAAAGGCTAAATTTTTTAAAGTAAACTTTATTGAAAATTGTGTTTTCCTAAGAAATAAAAATGACAGTATTGATGAATCGTGATATATTTTACTTTTTTTTGTATAAAAATTTCTAGTTGAAAATAAATTTCATTATTTACAGGGGTGACAAAAAATTCTGAGACACAAGAATGATTTCCTAGAATTTTGTACTTCATGCAAATTAAACTTTATATATATGGTGAGTGCCGTTGTTGATTGGACTTTCATATTCTACCATGCAAACGCAAAATTTCTGGTTTTAGTGTAAAAAATAAAAGGAACCAAAATCGTTCAGCGGAAAAAAGTTCTGGGACATAGAAGAAAAACAAAAAATCAGAGCGAAATAGATAATATGAAATACTTGGAATCTAGACCATTCGACAGAGAAGTTTTTGCGCTACATTTTTGTGTAAAGAACTTCTTTTGATAATTAAAATTTGATTTTCGAAAATTTTATCTATGAATTCAAGAGAGAAGTTGGATTTAAAAATTTAAACAACGCTGAAATTGAACACCAAACAACTCATTAGAAAGAGCATTAAAAACTGAATAAAATCTTCTGTTTTATGACCAAAAATAAATTAGTTCAATCGTTCACTTTATCGATTTTTAATTTGTGATGACTATTCGCTTTTAACGTTTGAATTAAAAGCAAAAAATTCCAGCTCTGAAACAGTCAACACGTTTGAGGTTTTGTAGAGCAGAATTTTCTCTTTCAAATGCGACCTCCCACGCTTTTATACGATGTCTAAAAAATAGTTGCCGTTCCACTATATTGTTTTATATACGGATGTAATTTGCGCCTACGAAAGAAAGCGCTTTTGTGCAGCAGAATTTGTGAGGAAAAACAAAGTGGAGCAGCAATTTTTTTCTACACATCGTAGAAAAGCGTGGGAGGTCTCATTTGAAAGAGAAAATTCTGCTCTACAAAACCACAAACGTGTTGACTATTTCAGAGCTGGAATTTTTTGCTTTTAATTCAAACATTAAAAGCGAATAGTCATCACAAATTAAAAATCGATAAAGTGAACGATTGAACTAATTTATTTTTGGTCATAAAACAGATGATTTTATTCAGTTTTTAATGCTCTTTCTAATGAGTTGTTTGGTGTTCAATTTCAGCGTTGTTTAAATTTTTAAATCCAACAGTCTCTCTTGAATTCATAAATCAAATTTTAAAAATCAAATTTTAATTATCAAAAGAAGTTCTTTATACAAAAATGTAGCGCAAAAACTTCTCTGTCGAATGGTCTAGATTCCAAGTATTTCAGATTATCTATTTCGCTCTGATTTTTTGTTTTTCTTCTATGTTCCAGAACTTTTTTCCGCTGAACGATTTTGGTTCCTTTTATTTTTTACACTAAAACCAGAAATTTTGCGTTTGCATGGTAGAATATGAAAGTCCAACCAACAACGGCACTCACCATATATATAAAGTTTAATTTGCATGAAGTACAAAATTCTAGGAAATCATTCTTGTGTGTCTCAGAATTTTTTGTCACCCCTATACATAAATTAACTATTCAGATTGTTAACTATCTCCATCTATGGTCCTCAACACTATTTGAGAGTGTTCGTTTCGCTTCTGCTTCAGTATGATTCATCATGAACTATCGATCTTTTTCTGTTTTCATGGGTTGAGAAAGAAAAACATTATAAATAAAACAAAATATTAAAAAGAGAATTTCTTATCAATATAAATTTTACTACCCGCACACATATATATTTATATAATAAATGTCTTTCGTACAAGCGTTAAAACGTTTGATTACGACAAATGATACGTCATCTACTAGTGGAACAACAGTTAATGAAAGTAATCAAACGACAACAGATAACGTAACAAATATGAATCATCCAACCGTTAATTCAAATGGATCAAATTCAGCAATGTCAACATCGAAGTCGAACGAAAACTTCAAACCGCTCAGTCAAGGACTACAGAAAAAATATGCTCGAGGTGTACAATATAATAGTAAGATAGGAGTGCATTGAAGGACATACTTTTCTTTTTTACTAGCATCACTTTTTTTTTTTAATAGTGAAATTAGTTATACGTGGTGAATGTAATACAGGCAAATCAGTTTTATGGTCTCGCTTACAAGGTTATCAATTTATAGAAGATTACATTCCATCCGATGAAATTCGTGTTGCAACAATAAATTGGTCATCGCGTGTATGTGAAGATGCAATTATTAAGGTTGAAGTCTGGGATGTTGTCGATAAATCACGAAAAAAACGACGTCCCATTAATCCATCGCTTAAATTGTCAAATTCAATAAATGTTTCTGTTGCTGAAGTTTCACTTGATGCTGAATTTCTCGATGTTTATAAAAGTACAGCTGGCGTTTTATTTATCTATGATATAACAAAACCGTGGACATGGGATTATATTGAAAGAGAAATTGTTAAAGTACCAGCACACATTCCAATATTAATTATTGGAAATCAATTAGATATGAATCATCATCGAAAAGTATCAACCGATAAATGCCTCAATTTTATTGAAAATCTAAATAGGTTAATTTTTGTTTCTTCGATGGCTGAGTCACGTCCCATAGGTCCAATATGTATTGCTTATTTGAGTTCGATAGATACAGTACGATGAAATTCTTCTCGTTTTACATTCATTTTGATGAAGAGCAGTAGTATTTTCGTAGTGAAAAGCTAGATCTTATACGATACCATGAACTGAATCAGTATTAATTTACATCACTAAGAATTACCATACCAAATAGTTTAAGTTAAAGAAACTACAAATCTATCGAGAATTTGCTTCGTCTACAGGTTTATAAATCTGAAAGAATGAGATTCATTTTAGTAAGCATGACAATATTGTCCTATGATTGTTATATTTTTCGATAGATTAGATTAAAAAACCTCATCTTTCAAGATTCGAAACTGATTTAACAAACTCATGTAGATTTCGTAAGTTTAAATGCATGCTTTTGAGCATAGAAAATAAATCGCTTTTCTTCTTATTCACGATTTCTCAGTGGAGATTTTATAAATGTTATTGAGTCTGTTCTAAGTTCAAAATATACCATCATCTATTATTTGCTTTTTGTTTTATTCTTAATAAGCATAAAAAATTAAATTCTTCCTGTTTAAAGAGGTACGATGGGTTCAGTGGTTCGCTATTGTGAAAGTTCCATGCGTAACGGATTTGGTCTAAAATATATTTATCAATTTTTAAATATTCCATTTTTACAATTGCAACGTGAATGTCTACTTCAACAATTACAAGTTAATGCACGTGATATGGATGCATCACTAGAAGAAATCGATGCATACGCTCGTAGTGATGAACATAATTATGATTCCTTTATTGAAATGCTTGCTAATAAACGTCGTACAAAACAAGAGGCACTTGCTGGTGATGCATTCAGTAAAGCGAAACCATTGGAAGAAGCAAAACGTCTGCATGATGAAGCACTTCAAACAGCAGCATCAGCTGAACAACAACAACAAGCGAAATCTTCGTCATTAAATACAATAGTGCAAGCTATTAAAAAAACAACTGACACAACACCAGCAACAATCAAACCCACGCCAACAACAAAACAAAAGCCACCTATCGTTGCTGTTCAACCCATTGTTCAGCAAGGTTAATAAAAGAAAAAAAAATGATTATACGAAACTAGCTCATCGAATATTTCTTTTTAGCAGTTGCAAAACCAATTATTCGAAATGAACCTAATCATAGTGTTATTGAAAAACATCATCCATCGGATGACTATACAGAAGCTCATTTATCAAATCCGTTAGTAGCATCAACTGTTGATGATTTTATACCTGATGATAATGACTATGAAACATTTCTTGTCGATGATAATACTCCATCTCAACAACAACAACAACAACAACATATATCGATTGATTCATTGACTAAATTTTCAACATCAAAACTTTCTACAACTGATGAGTTAGCTATTTTTAATAGTTTCACTTCAAATATTAGTTTTTTCTTCGTTTTAATAGCGAAAATGAATTTATAGTAAATCCAATGGTTAAAGGATTTCGTGAACAATTAGATTCTGATGATGAACAACAACAGTCAACAATTATGTACGTCATTTTTAAGAAAAATTAAATCAATAAAGGTCTTTTTTTTGTTTAAAATTTTAGTACTAATCAGTCAACCGAATATGAAAAACCAGAATATGAACCAGAATCACCAGCAGCCAACATTGTAAATAAAAAAAATTATTATAAATAAATAACAAAATTATTATTTTATTCTTTAGATTACTCAACCAGTATCACCTCCAATCTACCATCAAATCACATCATCAGATCTTGATTTTCTCGACCAATTATCCGCATCAAAACCACAACAATCTTACATTGAACCACATACACCTGGTACTATTTTATTAGTATGTAAATGAAATGATAACAATTGATATTCATTTAGATTCCCAAAGCATTCATAGTGATTCAGCATCAACAAAAGCAAAGAAAAAGAAAACAACAACAAAACCGAAAAAAGTAAGATTATAAATAATTTCTTAATCACTCACTACATTAGAAAACTATTCCATCATAGAGAATAACTTTTAATTTATAGTTTTGTTGGAATATAAAAATATGCTTCAGTTTCAATCTGAAAATCTTTTAGTACTGTAGACTTGAAAAACTTCACGAATGAGTTATTAATTAAATTATACAAATCAATTCGTTCCTTGAGAAGATCTTAGATCTTTTGTTTTTTAGTTAACAGTATTTTTTTTTTCTTTACTTTTAAGGACACTAATATTTCAACAACTGACACAATCAAAGTGAAGAAGAAGAAAAAATCTACCGCACTTAAAACAAATAATTCTGCTACTACTGAATCACCGATTCCAAACACTAATGATGATGACGATCTCGAATCATTTCTTGCTGATAATTCGACGGGCAAAAAACAGGATCCTGATTATGAAAATGTTTAAAGCAATCTTTCCATTTCATCTTTTTATTTTGTTTTAAATGAATCTAGTCCACTTAACATTATTTATCGTTCTATTTTTTGTTCAATGTAATAAATGTCTTTGTTCGTTGGATTCAATATCTTTATTAAATAAGAAGTTATTTATCGTCAGTTTATTTCTAGATTTTTAAACAATGTCTTCACATACTGGTATTAAAAAATGATCATGATTTGAAATAAAGAACAAAGAAAAATCATCATCATATTTTGTTTGTTTTTTCTTTGGTCTAGGTGTTTCATGTGATGTATGTATGAAAAAAGGTTTTCCCGGTCGACGTTATAAATGTTTATTATGTGATAATTATGATCTTTGCGGTTCATGTTATGATGCTGAAGCTGAAAGTCAAAGTCATAAAAATGCTCATCCAATGCAATGCTTATTAACTGATACGGCTTTTGGTTAGTTAACTTTAATGAATCATTGTATATGAATAAGTTTTGTATCGATTTGATTGATAGAATTATTCTATGCAGGTGAATCGATACCTCGTCGAACTGTTGTGTCATTAACGTGTCCACATTGTGGTCTATCCGGTTTCATTCCACGTACATTACTTTTACATTGCGCAGAAAAACATTTATCAACAGAAACCAAATCTACCCAGACTGTTGTATGTAAGACCTTGCTTATTTCTCATATACACAGAGATGAATAACTTCTTTTTATAGAGAAAAAAGAGAAAGTTTTGTTTTCAATACTTACAAAATTTTGCTGATTATCATTGCTTCTTTTGACTTTTAAATCAAAACTAAAATATGTCTTACTTTTGCTGTTTAATTTCGTATATAGATGTGTCCAATTTGTGTGACTTCTACCGTACATAGCAGCCGATCTCGTTTTCCTCTACTTACTGATCATTTGGCAACAGTACATGAAAATGGAACGGAAGGTGATGATGACGATATCATAGATTCATTCACTATTTCTAAAACACGAGCTACGGAGAATGAAGAAGTAATAAAAAATTTGAAAATCATCTAGATTTCTATTCAATGAAGAAAAATAAAAACTGTTTCTTTTCAAGGACGACTCAGACGAAGACGAAGATGATGATGATAACGAATCATCTTTCAATGATCTTAAAAATCGAGTCTTTGCTGAAGAAGAACAACGCCTTCAAGAAGATGCTCTACAAAGACTTGAAAATGCATCATCATTAGCAGCCGCCATTAGAAATGAATATGCTGCAAGTACAAATCGAAATACAAGTTCACAACGACGTCCCTTCCTTAGACAAACAGCACTTCGTGGTGGTAGAAGTACTTTACGAGGTAAAATACGATACGAACAAAAATAAGAACTTAATTGTTAATATATTTAGGTCATTTCAATCATTTTCCATATGGTGGTTTGTCTCGTACAGGAACTGGCTTCACTTCGGCTACAACAAATCGTAGTTCTACGGATACATCCATTGGAAATTCATCTCAAAATGCAACTCCAACAGATCCGTATGCTGCTTTTGTCTTTGGTCAAGATCCAATGTTAGAATTTGTCTCGAGGCTTGTCAATAATCAACCAACATCATCAACAACAACAAATAACCAATTTATTTTTGGACCACCAGTGTCAATACCAGTGCCATCATCAACGAATACAAGCAATGAATTTGCACGTTTTCAACAACATATGGAAAATAATGAATCAATTAATTCACTGAAGTAATTACTATCTTTTGATTTAATTATCAATCTAAAACATTTTTACTTAGATCAAGTTTATTGAATAGCAGACACAAACGATCTATTCAAGCTCAACAGCAACAATCACAACAAGCATCATCACCATCATCATCATCAACAACACCAAGCACCGGTTTACCATATCCAACAGGTTTTGATTATCAATTATGGCAACAAAATTTTTCAGCTTTACAACCAACCATTAATACTCTTAATTTTTCAACAGGAGCTGTAACAACAGGACCAAACAGTTCTTTATCGAAAAACCTTCAACAATTGAATCGAGAACACAATGCCCGATCGTTACTCGGCAAGTAAGTACATTCGTTGGCTTTCTAATAACGATTGCGGTATAAATAATGGCACCATTGATAGTTTCTTCTATTTATATCATACACGTGCGCAGTAAGAAGATTGCTTTGAGCCTCAATATTTGCTATGTAATTTCCTAGAAAATCTCACGAGAGCAATAATCTTAATCGACAAGATACTCACGAGAATCGAACCATGCCAAGCTTCGTCAGCATGCATCAGTTTCTAGTATATAAAAACAAAAATGTATTCGAATTTTTTACTCATTATAATTTTAACTTTTCTAATGGTGGTAAAATATTCTTCTATCATCTAGAAGTTTCAAACACTATTTGTATCGTCATATGTTGATATTTATAGGGTTTAAGTAGTCTTATATGTTATAATCATCACTTAAAATCGATATGTGTAACCATTGAGAAAATATGAACGATGTCATTATCTATGATGTCTTAGTTACTTTTCTAGAAATAATATGATTTCTATACATTTTTTTTTCTAATTTAAGAATATTAAGAAATGATAGAGATGTAAATACCGATGACAACAAGAATGAAACTCGTACGAACCAATTACAAAATCACATGTCATTTTTACAATCAATTTTATTGTCATCAATCGCAACCAACACCAATGAAGAATCAAATAAACATAAATTGATTGTTAACAAAGAAAATCTTTAGGAAAGTCATAACAAAATTTAATGTTCAAAACCGACATACACTAAGAAAAAACTACGTTTACTTAGTCTTTTATCTAACGTTGCATATAGTAAACACGAATCCTTTTTTTTTCTTTTTTAAATAAATAGTTTCTTACCGGCAAAATAAAATAATCTATCATGTATACAATAGCAAAAAGATAGCTATCATGGAAATGCCATGTTTGCAAGTAATATAAATAATTTGATTTCATGTCTCTACTGCCCACTCGAACGAGTATACATATATATATATTTTATCATATTTAAAAAAGAAATATTTTGATAAACATTTTTTCACGTCTATCATTATTATCTTTCACATTGATTCTACCAATACAAGTGCAAGAGTAGCATTAAGCTATAGAATTATCGAGCATGGGTTTACATCCACGAGATTGTCTAACTCATTATCATTTGATCGGTTTAACGGGCGTTGTTGCTGTCTCACTTATTTTAGTTATTGTCGGTGGTTCACTCGCAGCGTGGTGTATCCGTTATGGTGAAACATTTGAATGTCATTCATTGCTACATTCTGAACGTGCTTATTCCTGTCTTTTTAAATTGATGCCAACAGGAGTTATATTTAGTTTGATTATTTCATTATTCATGTTCATTATTCTAATTATCGGTCGCGTATATGCTGAATATACTGGCATTGCAAAAAAGGAATATCAACTTGTTGCTCGACTTGTTAACATTTTTGCATTATCATTAGCTATCGTTCTAGTTATGATTGTACTTCTTCAATGGTATCATCCATCGACAAATTCATCGGCAAAAATTTTAATTGCTATGGTACCAATATCAGAGCCAGCGAATAATTCAACGAAACCAAAAAAGGAAGAAAATATTGTTTTTCAACTGATTTCATCCGATCATCCTTTATATTTAAAAGCAGTTGCTGCAAAACGTCGATCAATCACTAGCTACCATGAAAATCTTAATCATGGGCCCAATATATTTTTTGCAGCAGCTATTCTTCTGTTTATCACCTTACTTATTTTTGTTCTTGCACATCGAGTATAAAATTCAATCAAGAACAAAATAGGATTGAATGATAATAAACTAGCCATAGCTTTCTAATAAATATTATTTTTCCTGTTCATTTATTGAAAAAAACGCGATGCTCAAATTATCTTTGTATCTTTTTTTATTGATTAAAATTTCATTAATGATAAAAAGAAGAAGAAGAAGAAGAAACGAATCATATATTTAAATAAAATCTATTTTTAACTATGATCATAGTATCTTCAAACGAAGAGCTATTAAACGGCTAATAAAAATAGGCCAATGACGGATTGAATTCGTTTCAATATGAAACGAAATGATTTTTAGAAATTTAATTCCAGCGGTTATCTTTTAGCAATCGTACGTTATTTATAAATTTCACAATACTTTTCATCAAAATTTTTGATGATCTCGGTTACAATCTTCTAAGAAAAAAATTGCTTTTTGTCTATTAATACTTAGCTACTTGTACTTCCTAGAATTTAATAATGCGCTTCATTTCAGTTCCCTATTGTTTTCTGTGTGCAGAAGCGTATCAAGCTGTGGTAATTGGCAGAATTTTATCTTTCGAGTCAATTATTCTGCAATTATATTAAAAAGAATCTTCTTTTAGTTTCATATTCTTTTTTTAAATAGTCTCAACATACTCAACTTGTGTCATTATGTTTCTCTGCTTGAAAAAAGAAAAAGAAACAGAAAATTCAAGTACTTTGAATTTCAGATTGATGATTGTCTGTTTTGTTTTCACCCGTTTATATTTTGAACAGCTCATAAAGTAACGAAAGAAAAACTATTAGATAATTTCCACAAGACAGGCACATAACATATCTTGAATGTCGGATGAAATTGAAATGCATCATTAAGAACAAGATCGGATTTGAATAAACTTAATTAAATTCTTATTGTTTCATACCGTTCTATCTTCTCAGGCAATACTGACTGACAGCATAGTAAATTATACTTTCTAACGTGTGTCGCTTTCTGTATGCTACAGAAAAATATAGTAATAAAAACAGAAATTACTTCTATTATGTATTTATTTTCTTCGCTATTAAAAGCAATCACAGCTTCTACAATGGCTAGAGATTGAATCTTTGAATATAACAACAAATCTAAATTGAATCACTAGTTAACAAAGTTATTTCGACTTGCAAAGATAATTTAACATCTTGCAATTCATGTTTAATGAAAATCAAGAAGCCTTATATTCTACTTATGAATGCTCTAAGATTACTTTTCTACACTCTATAAAAAGAATTAATTTGATTTTCACAGTTCCTTTAGATAAAACGTGATGGAATGATTATCGAGAGACTGATAAAAAAAAGAACATTGCTTTTTTCTTATGTTGTTACATGAAGAGGTTTTAAAACATCACTGTCTAGTTCTGAAATAACCATACACATTACTAGGATTGAAAGTCATTTTTTGCCGCTGATATTCAAATATCTAATCTCTGCTTTCACGACAGAATTTGCGATATGCGAAGAACGATGAAATGTTTTTTTATGACTTTTCGTTTAGAAAATATCTGTGTTTTTTGTTGTTGTGAGAAATTGAACTTCACTGTTTGACAAACAAAGAGATCCTGAACAAACACAAGCATTTCTTAACATATGATTTCAATATGAAGAGATGAACTCTATCAAAAACCTTTCTTTCCGTAGCTCGAATTGTTTTACTAGTAGCTTCTCTTTTTTAAAAGAAAAGTTGATATTTCAATAAGAAAATACGAAACAAAAGCATGCTCATCGGCTCTAATGAAACTTCCAAGTTGCATATAGCCATGTAATCTAAATATATTCTGTTGAAACGTTGATCATGGAAAATTTGGAAAAGGTGATTTCATCATGATTGGATAGCTAGCATAAAGATTATGGTAATGTCAACAAAATTTGATCATAATAATTTTGTGTATGAGTATCGAAAGTCAAATATTCTTCGGGTTGTCGACCGATACTATCATGATTTGATATAGCGTCATTGACTTCAGTTATAATAGCCACAATGCATTTCATTTCCAACCGAGCCGGAGTATTATCATTAGTTGCTAAATGATGAAAAATGGTATGGAACGTTTTGTTAATATTAGCAAATTGTGCTTGAATATCGTAGATATATCCACTACGTGTCACATTGAGCTTGAACTTTTATATTACTGAAGATTAGCCGTAGTCCAGTAAACGATTTTTTAATGATCATAATCTTTAATGCCGTCGTGCGCGTTGGGTCTCACATATATTTATATTTATAGTACATGTGAACAATGGAGAAGATAAACAGAACGACTAAAAAACAAATTCCGCTCCGCTCCGTTTCGTATCAGATCTAATATTTAAATATCTACATAAAAAAATCATTTGAATAGAGAAACAGAATGACTACTCCGGGTTTATTTGCATTCTTATTTATTATTCTTTTTCATCTAAACGGCTGCATTTATCGCCGAAATAAATATACATGTTTTTTGCTTGTATTTTTACATTCTTTAAGTTTTATGTAGATTCTATAATAGGATAAGTGCATGATATTCATATGTCTATCAGTAGTAACATACGAGCCATTCAAGTAGAAACAAATTTGAGAAAAGAGAAGTGAAAGTCATATTGATTTTCAATCTAAATAATCATGTACAAGATGACCTTATACTAGAACATACAAGTTTAACTATTTCATAGTTTTAGAAATAATTTTTATTTTCGTCACTTATATTTCTTCGAAAATTAACTTGTATTTTCCCAGCAATTCATTAATCTTCTGGTTAAATAATGTCTTCTGTTCATTATAATCAAGATCAAAATCTACTTCAATCAATTTTGTCTGTTTATAATTTTGTAAAATGTCTATTACAAATGAACCATGAATTTGAATGTTGATCAAAATCAATGTTCTTATACATGCATATACAATAGAAAATGTTGTAGTTGTATTATTTAAATTTCGTTTAATAATAGAACAGATTCTTTCAGTAAAATACGAAATATTAGAATATTTATCTTCAAAATATGAAATAAAATCACTAGTTTGTTCTCGTAAGGTCCATACTGCCGAATAATTATTCGAACTATTATGATCTATTGTAGATAAAATAGGATCATTTTTTGCCAAATCAAATATACATAGAAGACAAGTTAATAATGTTGGCATGATTGAATGAAGATATTTATCAAATGAAATAAATTTATTTGATGTAAGCATTTTCAATATTGATAAAAATCGAAGAATAAAACTTAGATCGTGTAGATGAATATTTGTTTGAATACCTTGAGCGATGAAGAGAAGAAGACGAGGTAGAAGAGGTTGCAAAGCAGCATCGGAAGAGAAACAATGAAAAGCATCAGCACATTGTTTATCTGTTCCGTTGAAACAGGATTCAGTTAATAATTTAAAATATAATTGTTGTTCTATGCTTAATTCATGCGCAAGACACGTTTGAATCGATTCTATGCATGGTACTTTATTATTATTGGCATGAAATCGGCGTAAAGGTAGATTTCGAGGATGAGTCGGTTTCATGGTTAAATTATTCTTTGTTAATGGATGGATATGTTCCTGATAGACATAGTTTCTATAGGAAAAATAATTTACTATACTATAAATTTGTGCAGAACATTAACGACTTACTTTCGTCTACTAGTATTAGCGATTTGAAAAAGTTTTTCTAATGTAGACGATCTATTAATAAGTTCATTTGGTAATATTTTTGTGCCGTTCGATTTTTTTTGTTTTTTCTCTTCTGAATTATCCTCACTAAAATTTGCAGGTGGATTGTCGGAAATGATCGGTTGTTGTCCATCAATAGCAAGCCAATGAATTGTAAGTTCAAGTCTATTGGTTTTCGATGACAATTGATCGACTTGATCAATTAATGACAATACAGAAATACTTGTTTTTTCCAATTGTTGTACATAGTTAGTAAAGTTTTTATTTCGGTAAATATTACGAGTTTCAAGTGCCGCTTGAAAATCAATAGCGCAAAGACAAATACGCTTACAAGCACGTGCATAAGTACGCGTTTCAAGAAGAAGACTTCGAACAATAAATAGAAGTTCAATGTTAAGTTCATGAATGCAATGAGTTGAAAGTGAAATAGATTGATATGACTTCCACCAATCATCAGGCAAAGTTTCTAACCAAACCATAATTATGATTCATTCTAATTAGATTTCTTGTTCGCTTGAGATTTAGATGATACTTATAATCATTGCTTCATTGCTTCGTCTTCGATTATACATTACCAAGGAAATAAAAATAATTATTGTCGATTGAAATCTATTGACTTGACTAGATATTAGAGAGTTTCCTAAACTTGAACCAAATCTAGATAAAAAGTAATTAAAACATTCTAAACATGAAAATCTTATCTATTTGAATATAGTAATTGTCGATTCATGGCAATGTTCTTTTTTTGCCACTTTTTCGCTTGAACAATCAATTTTTATACAAGTTCGATAGACATTTTAAATGTATGTGTCCATATTTCTGTTTGATTTCACTTACGATTGAACCGAACACAAAGCTATTGTTGTTGTTTATTTACTCTTAAAGTTGTCAAGAGCATGACTATTAAAATTCATTGTGAATCATAGAGAAGCTTCGAATTACACGTGCATATCAACAATCAAACAGAAGACATACGAGAATACGATATGAATAATCCATCAATGTCAATGATCACATACAATAGTGAAAGCAATCCCTACCAATATGCTTCTGTCAGTTGTGTCTCTCTTGAGTATGTTGTAAATAGATTGATGATTCACTAGGTTTTTGCTATTCAACAACTAACATGTACAACCGGCCAGATGCATTTTTGTTAAGTTTCTGAAGTTATTCAAACGTAATGAATACTATCTCAACACCATGCTTACAATCAGTGAATGGTAGAAAAACGTTATAAAAATCTTGAAGTGACACAGGCAAAACATTGATATGAATAAGAAAATAGTCAATACAATTTGATTAAATGAAATTTATATGCAATCATTTCCATTTTTCTTCTTCGCTTATTTCTAAACTAATCCAACGAGCATAATCAATCGCATGTAAAAGACATATTAAAATTTTTGCAATACAAAAAAGAACGATAATCGAAAAATATGTTTATCGATTATATATTTATAGGAAAATATTATCGTAGACTAAGACAAGTGTGCGAATTTAACATCAATTAATAGTTGATTAGAAAAGTATGATAACTGAAGAAAGTCAAGTTTATCAAACAGATCTAATTGATCATCAATATTTTTTCACACTTTTCGCTCCGAGAATATTTTGATCATTCGAGAAGAATACAATTTCATTTCTCTACCAAGCATTGTCTTACATGTGTTACCTGACTGAAACACTAAACTAAACAATTTATATCTCAAAGCTTTCTTATCATATTTTTTTTCAGTCTCTCTCTCTCTCTCTTCTACTTGTTATAACGTAATAACTAATCACCATTTGTTTGGCCACACCTGAGTAATTTAATCTCTCGACATACAAATAAGACCTATGTTATATATATATATATGTATATTTATTCTTATTTAATATTTGTACAGTACATATATTACAAAAATACTCGCACAATCTTTGTGTCTCAAGGATATATCCACGTAATAATAGTTGAAGCAGGAAAACTTACTGATAAAGATAAAACAGATTTTAATGATCCTTATGTTGAAGTATATATCGACGAAAATAACAAACAAAAAACTAGTGTACTTATGAATATAGAAAGACCAATATGGAATGAAGCTTTTGATTTGTATGTTTGGCTATCCTGTTTTATTTTCTTTCTTATTAAATTTCTTTTCTTTTGCTATGTAGTAATAATATATGGCCAAGTAATGAATACTTTTACATAAATGTCTACGATGAAAATGAAGGCAAAAAGCCAGATTTAATTGGCTCGAAACAAGTTAGTCTTGATGATGTCATTGAAAAAGGAGATTTTGATGGTTGGGTCAAATTACCGGGTTTTGTCGGTTTTGGTAGTCATGATCATGTACATATAAGCATGCATTTTGAAAAAATATCAACTGGTTAAGATTTACTAATTTACTTTTTTCTTTTTTTTCTCAATATAATTTTAATTAAAACAATAAAGAATAAACGCGATCGTTTCGCTTTTCTTAGTCATCACCACATGGTCCATTATCAACTGGTGAACTACATGCACCACTGTCCGATGCGGAAGACAAAGAATCTGTATCTACATAGCTGTCATTATCTGCTGTTGATGATAATCTCGAATTGTTCATTTGATTACGCAATGCTGCAACTGTATGAAGTGCATATTTTCGATTATGATGATGAGTACAACTTATTCGACGAATATCGCTATTACTCGAAAAGCAGCAGTGCGTCATTAAACGTGCAGGTCGTTCATTATGATGATAGTGATATCGTTGAACTTTAGGTTGATGAACTGGTGTTGATTTTAATTGTTGAATTGTTTGAATTTTACTATAAATTGATAGAAACATGCTCTTTAAATCATGATCTGCTCGACGAATTTCAGACTAGAAACAATCGAAAGAACAATAATGAGAAAAAATTTCTTTTTCTTACTAATTCATCTTGTATAACATCAAGAATACTTTTTGATGATGCAGATACTTGTTCTTCTTTGACATCGTTTAATAGTCGATCACAAAGTTGACTTGTTGATTTCGATAAAATTTTTTTACATGAACCTAATGGTATTAATTTTTCATTTATGCTTGTATTTAATGATGATGAATTGGCTTCATTTGTTATCAATGGTTTTGACGCATCATTATCAATTAAATTGGTTGTATTCGTTAGAAATGATGTTGTTTGTTCAGCCGGTATTTGTTGAGGAGCGATTGAATTGACTAGAGATGGAGTAGATACAGCAGAAATAGATTGAATTTTTTGTTTGGATAATGTTACAGATGACAATGGTAAGCTTGGACGAATACGAGCTGACTCATACGTATTTAAACGTTCTTGTATAACAGGTGCTGTTGTTCGCCTACGTTTCGTATAGGAACCTGTTGATTCAGATGATGAGCATTCGGATGATGAAAAAAAACCTGAAGCAGCACTTAAACAGACATCTGATAATGGTGTTGTTGCTGTTGGTATTTCAGATGATATTCTTAAAGCATAAGATGGAGATGATGCTGATGACGATGATGGTATTATTGGTGGAAATTTATCGATTATTTCTATTTCTGACGGGTGACGACAATAAAAATTGGCATAAAAAGAGCGGTCACGTACAGAAGAAGAAAGTTGCATTCTAGAAATAAATTAACAAAAGTGTTGATTACGTAAAATCCGCCATCTAACTCTAAGCTAATTATGACAGCACTCCTTTAAGAATAATATATATATATCACTATTACATTCATGCTTTGATTGGTGGAATATGTACATGAATCAATTCTTTCTCTTGTTAGTACTGACTTGGCACAGTTTACTATTGGGGTATAAGCTTGTTTTAACACACACACAAAAGAGAAAGAGAAGTTCAATATATGAACGCATGACTTCGATCTACTACCTGCAGAGATATGGTGAAGAGGGGCACCATCAATTCACTTTTTCTGCAATGAACATAGTAGACTCGAGGGTGAAAAATGTAAAAGTAGAGGGTTGGACGTTGTCGTCTAACGAGTATGAAATACTCAACGAAAAGCAATCAATAATTGTTTTATACGCGCCGTCATCCATATTAATATATATATATATATATTTGTGTAAAATATGCAGGTGCACAGAACACATAAGTACCATGCGATTTACAATTATGGGTTGTTGGTAACGATACTATTGCATACTTTTGCGTCTAGTTAATGGGTCTGTTCTCTGAATAAAGGTGCGTATATGTGTATGTGTGTGAGAGTGCATCAAAGAACAGACGTGAAACCATTATTACCAGATCTTTTTTCACTGAAAATTGAATAGAAAAAAGGAGAGCTCGCGTGGCTTCATCTACCATACTGAAAGAGAGACGACAACGCTCAGTCAGTCTTTTTTTTATTGTTGTATGTTTCATGATGCCTACCCTACCTACCATCAAATTTGCCTCTAGTAATGAAAGAAAAAGGAAGAGAACGCATATACTTTTCCTTTCTCTTTCTCTCCTTCTTTTATGGTAGTCTGATCCGATGAACAGTATAAGGATGATGGTGAACGATGACTAGGTAGACAGAGGCATACAAAGTGCCGACTGTCACTATCGGTCAACAGGCCGGCAAACTGAAGAGTTATATCATTTATGGATTAAAATGTCGACAATAACTATAGAATATAAAATACATTAATTACCAACAAGTAATGCTTCAAAAAAAAGAGAAAAAAAAGAAAACTTTCAATTGATCGTATCTAACCAGTCATACTTGAGAATATGGCAAGGACATTATTGTTAAATAATGACAAGCAATGTAAGAGATCGAGATTATAAAATGAATTTTCTCTTCTTTTATTCGTATATTTACTTAACAAATATTTTCTTTTGTGTTGTACTCATTCCGTTCTTTCGCTTTGGTTACTCTTATATAAATTGCAATTCATTTTTGTTATTTCTTTTATTTCCAACATACAAACACATATGCACAAAAAAGTCATCATTCAATCAGAAGAAGAACGACCATCTTGCATATGGCAAAAAGAAATTTCCTTGCTATATTAATGCTCACTCTTACTGATTCTTTATTCACCTTGTCCTTGTCGATTTGCAAAGCTAAATCAATATCTGACATAATATTATCTTAAAACATTTATTATTATTATAATTTTATCAATACTTTCGTTTCGCACATCATATAATTAGCCGATGGTCTTGTTCAACATTTTATTTATTCAAGTTGGAGATGCCGAGATTTATATTGATTTTAAACAAAGTTTTACATTCTTTATTGATAGTTGAATTGACTTGTTCTCACAATAAACCAATAGTGAGCATACTTGATCGTGTTTTAAATTTCAAGTATTTCTTTTCAAGTTGAAAACTATTTTATATTCATTTTTCTGAATGAAAAAAATAGAATATTATTTTTATATTCATGAAAAAAACTTGTCCACAAATACAAGTATCAATACATAGTAAGAATACAAAAATATCTCATTTATGAAACTATGCGGAAGAAAAAGTTCTTTTGAAAATATTTTTGTTGTTTTATTTGATTGCTCAAATCATTTCAAATAATATCATAAATAAATTGCGAAATTCTCTAAACAAAAAAAATAGCAAATCAATTTTTCTTTAAACATACTACTAAAATGTGTTCAAGTAAACTATCCATAAATGATGAATCAATAATCTTGTCAAATATCATAGTTAAAGTGATGTTTTTATGTTACTTATCAAATTGATTCATTTGAGTTCTTATTAATCACCAAAAGAAACCTCATTAAGGATAATCGAAGCCACATAGTTGTTTCGTCGAAGAGTTTCGATGGCACATTCAATAAATATACGGCAACATCATCGGAACATGTTATAATCATTTACATTGGAATGTGAAAAGAGTAATGCTTGAATCGAGAAAAAAAAAGTTTTAAATCTAAAAATGAAACAGAAAAAAGATAGACAATTTTTTTATTCACTTTTTAATCTTGTTGAAACTAGAACATCTTGTTCTCGTAATGATTGTTTGTTCAATTTTTGATCTAAATCTTCAAAGTTTTTATAGTATTCATCATTTTTATCGATATTTTTCTTCAGTTCATTTTTAAATTGTTTACATAATTGTTTCATTTCATCGTGAATTGTTATTAGATCAGATATTTGTTTTTCTAATTCAACAATACGTTCGTTTTGTTGATGATTTTCTTCACGTAGACGTTCATTATCCTGTTTAATACTATTTAGAACAGATATATCGACATTAAGACCAGTCTGTTGACGAAATGTTAATTCTTCGAGATCACGCGTAAGTAAATATTCACTATTAGAACGTGCAGTTAAAAGAAGTACAGGTTCTTGATGACCATTTAACTTTGTTAATTGATTTACAGTTATTTCACGAATATCACAATGAGGCATAAGACATATGTCAATATCATCAAGTCGAGCTTTGGATAGAAGCATTCGATGAAGAGAGAAGAATTCACGTAATAAATCATCAACAGGCAGAATCTAATTAAGAAAAGAAAAAATATAGATAGTAGAAAAAATATCGATAGATAAAATTCACTTTTGAACCATCTACAAGTATTCGAGCAGTTAATGGCTGTTCTGTATAGATAAGACGTATTGGTTTGAAACCTTTTTGTAGACAAGCTGTTTCATTGCGATCAAGTGGTCGAAGCCAAGTTGATCTTAGAAAATGAAATTTTTTTGTGCGTGAATTAGAGAAAATAACTGATCGCTTACGTACGAGTTCGATGCCATGGTGGACAATATGAAATAATAAATAAAGCAATAAATACGAATTAATTAATTTATTAATTGACACTTGTTGCATTTAACTAACGAATAGAATTTTATCAGGTACCACTGTCATGACTAGCCCTTGGAAAATATTTTGTTCTATAAAGTTTTCGAATATTATGATAATTTTTCATAAAACCATCAACACAAGAAAATCCAAGATATCAAAATTGAAAGTAGATGGCGCTAACGAAGAGCTTTATCACTCTCGCACAGCTGCAGTATGAGCGTGGAAATAGATATACCGTTCGTTTTATCAATCTCTGTCAGGAGAGATTATTAAAAACTCTTGAAATGACTTGAAGCTACTAATTTAATCAATCTCTATAGCTTTAGTCGTGTAAAAATAGTTTTAGTGGTCATGTCATATACCAAAAGAATTCACATTTCTAAGGAAGTCTTCATTCACCCTGAAATTTCCAGTAGTGTGTCAAACTTGAAACTTGAATTCAGTTGAAAAGAGAAAATTTCAACTTTCAACTTCAACTCATAGCAATATATCTGTGTTCATAACATCTGAAAAATGAACTATTCTAGGCTGTTAAATAGTTCATCAGTTATACCAACGTTGATTTCGATTCGTACACACGATTCCTTCAGTGCTGATAGACATGAGATCTGTTATGCTACATCCGATTGGTGAACCACTTGAAATTGTTCTTCCAGAATCAAATGGATTCATTAATCAGTTGTTGCTTTTTTTTGCGTACTCTACAAGTGTTATTAGTTGTGACTTCTGTCATTCATTGATGAGTTTAACTACTAAGAATAAGTATCAGGAAGTAGAAAATACTTCTTGTCTCATTAAGACGATCACTTATAGTATAAAAATATCTATACATTTTAACAATTTGAAAGTATCCTAAGATTACAAGATTTATAATAGATTAGATTTCATAAGTTCGAAAAAAGACACGTTCTACAATAGAAAATGAAGAAGGATAGGATTTCTCTTTTATTGATGTTTCTTCAGTCAAATGTAAAATATAATATTTTCGAATCAAATTTTCACTAGTTGCCATAGTTCACTAGAATCGTATATGCCATGTTTATTTTCAAATACATCAAGTCGATAATCAGAAAATATAAAAGGATGATACATGTGTTCGAAAACACGTTCGCTTGGATTCATGCAGATGTAATTATCATTTATAGAGCATTCCTGAAACAATTAATCTATACATTAGTATGCTTTATCTACTCATTTCTATAGAAATCATAATCTCAACGAGAGTTTGCTGTCGATTGTAATGTATTACTGTTTTAGTAGCGAGTCTCATGGTAAATAGTGTCATAATCTGGCATCGCAGCGGCTCTGTCAAAAAATATAAGAATTCCTATATAGGATCGCCCTCAACTATATAGGAAAAATATAGGATGACAAATTTATTCCAGAAAAAGATTGAGACACCGAAAAATCACTGCAACAGCATTGAAGATGATAATGTGCTGTTTTTGCACGTGTATCTAATCGACGAAATAAAAATATTATTGAGTTTTGAAAAGTAATGGAGCAGCAAGATTTTCTTAAAACATAAAAAAACTAATTTATGTTCGACTTATTTTCACTATTGGACATACATGCACTTTAGGGTGTGAATGGGTTTCTGAACAAAATACTCACACATTCACGCCCACACCTTGTTGGTATTCCGTCTTTTAGAATTTCATAGTAAGCTACATCAAATTTCATCGAAAAATAAGCATCTGTTCAGGAGTTACAACGTTGTGAATTTTTTTCAAATACTGCCAAGATTTTAGCACAATTTCAAACCGTTATAACTCCTGAATGGATGCTTATTTTTCGATGAAATTCGAAATCTGTCGATGAAATTTGATGTAGCTTACTATGAAATTCTGAAAGGCGGAATACCAAAAACGGTTAAAAACATTTGCCGGTTGGGCAAGCAAAACAATTATTTTGTTTGCGCAAACTACAATCACAAACTTTTGACCACAAAACCTCATTACTTAGCTCCAATATGACCCCTCATAAGTTCCATCTAGGTCTCATGCACTGACGCTGAGATCTAACATACCCATAAATTCTGGATAAAACACTGATACAAAGACAACTAATGCAAAGAGTGTACTATATACATTATCTAGATGAACCAATAGGAAATAAGCGCCAAAGAAATTGTTACTGACAATATTTAAATGATGTGTTGAACACTTATCAGGAGTTTTTTGAATTTTTTTAGAAGAATCTTCAATTTTAAAAAAAAAAAATAGGAATATAGGAAAAAAGTTCAAAATATAGTCTATTATAGGATAAATTTTTAAAATATAGGAAATACAGGATATATAGGACTGCTGCGAAGCCAGGTCATAATAAAGTTTTATTTCACTGATAAAATCTGTTGTATATCAATTTTATTAAACGAACAATAGACCATTAACTTGATAACTACAACAACGAGACAAAACATAATAAAATTCAAAAGAAACTCTGTCATTGTTCTCATTTACTCTTTTCACTTACGCTCAAAATAGCTAGTCAACGAAAGTTCAAAACGTTCTGCCGCAGGATGAATTCGATTCATATTTCTTTTTGCACGCCACAGTTTGAAATGAATATTAATTAAAACATATTTCAATTGTCGACGAAAACGACCAGACGATGCAACAAAAATATAGAAATTATCCTAAAATACATACAATGTTGATTACTACAACAAAACGTATCAACAAAAACAATGTTCACTTACTGCATAGTTTACGTAGAATAACATGACAAAAACACGATTGACTAATTGAAATTGTGTTCGAATAATAGTATCGTTAGTATGTAATGATACGATGTGTCGAACTATATAAACAACAAGAAACGGAACGACGGTGACACAAAAATTGAGATCTTTCATTAGAATCATTCCAGTTAACTGTTGATCTAAATGTAGCCGTGAAATTGGTATATGTTTCCTAGCCATACGTCGAACATTACGAAAAGTCAACAGACCAAGTATGCTCATAATCGTAACAGGCAAAAATCCACCGAAAATCGGCAAATCAACATATACTACATATTTTGAGAATAGTCCACCACTGTTTTTCGGTAGGCATACTGTTACATTGGTTCCAGATAGTGGTATTGCATCGTAATAGATAAAAAACGGAATACCGTATAAAATAGAAATAACAATAGCGATAATAATTAGACACTGAATCGATTTGAGATTGAAACGTCGTCGAGGTTCATTCAATGATGTCGACGTGAACTGATCAATAGCTCCAAAGCACATGGTGGTATGTGACATCAAACCAAAAATTTGTGCAGAAGCCGTCTGTATTTTACATGTAAGCCTTTTATTCGCATCACTATGGTCTTTGATGATGTTTAACAAAATGTTAGGTAATACACTGGATAATAATAAGCTACTATCAGCTATGGACATTACAAGTAAACAAAAGGCACATGGATTTTTACGAAAGGTTTTCAAGCTAAGAAAAATTATTGTGTTCATGATATTGCCGAATAATCCCACGATAAAAACAAGTGAACCAGCTGATATATTGAAGTATCGAATTACTAAATTCATTTCAGTAACGAAGTCATCTGTTGATGACATATTTCTAGAAGGAACATGAAATTCATCTTTTTTAATACTGTGCATCTCCAACGCTCTATCTTGGATCACATTCTTGCAGTCGGACTGAAATCTCGAACTATTATTCGAAACTTGATAGATACGTGATCAAAATAAAATTTTCTCAACGTAACTCAACTCAAAAGGCAAAAAGGGCTTTGAGAAACATGATATCTATGCGTTCAGTCTCTGGTTTCGTTCGAAGATAACTTCAGTAAGTGAAACTAGATAAAACTATTTTTTAATTATTTATCAGCTACTAAAAGATGGAAAGGCATGACAATGGCGAGGGATAAACATTTAGAAAGAAATATTCTAAACAAATTGAAAAGCATTAATTATCAGCGTTGTCTTCTTATATGATACTCAACAGAACCAATGCAAAATGGTAACGGAGTCGTGCTGTGCATTTCGAGACATGCTTTTTAACCAATGATGGGAATTTGAATTAGTTTTCTTAAAAAGAATGTTTATGAAAAAGAATACGATGGACACTTTCAGAACATTCTACAGAAATGCATGCTCAACAGTATAGTGCATCTAATTTCTGAATGGCGAAAATCTGAGTCATCTTTCCTTGTATTTTGTATAATTTAAGTTCCTCTGAGGAAAATTGGTCTACTATTTACGAGATGCAAAGAGTTAAGGTTGAGAAAGGAAAATAATAATACATTTTTTATGGAATATATCGTATTTATTCTGGACAACTATGGACTGTTGAAAATGCATTGATCAAGAAAAAGAATCGTTGTAAAAATCGGTTTCATGACGATTATACATAGGGTTTTCGATGGGGTTCATGCTAGCTATTTAATATGATATCAGTCAAGAAAAAACTGTAAATATCGAGATATGAGTGTCTAAATTCTGGATCTATGAAAACAATCGATAAAGACGATGCATACAACTCAATTAAAATAATCTATTTAAACTATTGTGTTAGTATACAAACTTAATTCGATTATATCAACATTATTTTTTTAATGTTTAACCTCAAGAGAAAGACGCTCATTTATATATTTGTTGATATATGCAACTACAGAAACCTTTCATTAATTCGATGTAAAATAAAACGTACGTATCTATAGTTTTTCGCTCAGTTTCTTTTTTTAATTAGAACGTTAAGCAGATTATATAGATTAGGCGAGATATTTTTAGTTTCTAATGCAACAGAAATAAGCCTATACTAATTAAGCTATCAATTTCTAATCAGATATTAAGCAAAATATTTTTCTAGTGACATATGAATTTTAATTTGTGTTTACTTCTATCTGGATGAATGTATCACAAGTTTCGACGTTAGTTCATCATGAACACAAGCATGCCAAATCAGAAGAAATCTTTGCAGCATGAAGGGAAATCATTAAAGACGATCTTGTATTATATTTGTAAACGTTTCGAAAGCAAGTTTTCCATGGTTAAACGTCGAAACAGTTAACATAAAAACAGTAACAGAAGTTAGCCGCAGTTCTCTTCGCTGATTGTTAAGACAACTAGAAATATTACACGCTATACTTGATGCATTATATATTTAAATAAGCTTCAATAGTTACTATCGGCGCCAGAAGTCAAGGCAGTCTGATAGGAACAAGATAGAGACCTGCGATTTTCACCGTTTGAGAGGCAAAACCCAAGATCATATTTTCATAAGCAAATGCTTCTGAGAAAAAATTCGAAGATCCGTTTTTCAGAGGATCTCTAGAAAACCACGCTGGATTTTTGAAAGTCATTATAGAAGTCTATTGATTTTCTTAGATATTCGGAATCAGTATCAAAAACTAAGTCGACTTATACACGTTTCGAATATTTTCACGAACTTTTGTTTTCCTCGAAAAATTCACCCTTGTGGTCCCTCTCAGGGTTGGTCGAAAAGTGAATTCCATCAAGTTGCCATTTGAACCCTAGAAAGCAAGCCCCAAGCGTATCTTCTCGTTTGCGAACATAAAATCGAAAATTAAAATGTTTTAAATTAAATTAAAATCTTTTTCTTAGTTTGAAACTTCAATTCGAAAAATATTTCAAGCTTCAAATTTTCGTCTTTCATTTATTAAACACTAATTGAGAACAATTTTAATATAATTGATATCTTCAGTTTTGCTAGTAACTATCTGCAATTTGTAGAGTTCGCTAAATATTGAATTTCATTGTTTGTATTGAATAAGTTGTAATATATAGAGCGCGCTAAACTATCGTGTTCGTTTTTTGTTAATTAAAATGTAATTTATGAGATTCAGTAGAGAAAAATACTGCTATCAATATCATGATCTATTTCTCTGAGGTTCATCATACA